AGACTTGAGGAATCTCGCTCTTCTTTAACTGTATAAAGGCCCCAAATATACCAGACTGCATGCTTCAAATCCTCTCTGTGACGACTCAGGTATGTACTTCAGATCTGTCTGTCAACTTTTAATGAGTTTTTTCTCATTAAGGGAGCAAATCAGCACCAACAGTCGACAAAAACCAAACACTGTAAAATTGCATCTTAATATTGAAATGAGGTTCTTTGTAAAAGACCAATGTTAAAAAGATTGTTTTTAAATACACCCCTAGTCAGTTTGTTCAAGATCTTCATTGCACATCAATGAATGCATATTTTCAAAGACATTCAACTTCAGCACGTGATTTAATAATGAACCTCTTCGATTATGATTGATGAGTTTCTCTGCAGGTGACCAGGAGGTTTGTTTCTAATCTTTATTTTCTCCATGCTTCATGAAGCTTCTTCAGTCGATGTTCACACAATGTGTTTAACTGATCTTCCAAAGCTATAATGTATAACCCTGGAGGACGTTCTTCACTGTGAGCGTGAAGTGTTCATCGATGCAGCTTGTCTGCGTAATCACAGCGGAGAATATCCTCAGGTGCATCACAGCGACATAATGCAAATATTCTGCAGCAATGTGCACATCCTCTCTTAGTCATAAAGTCCTTCTATCTGCTGCACAATTCAACATCTATTTTTCATGAACCACACGTGGACACACAGCGGCGCCTGAAGTGTTGTGTATCTACGTACATGTGTGATGCACTGTCACATTATCATACAGTAGCTTGGACAGGCCAGCTTCACACCTACGTAGCTGCTAATAAGACAGATCCATCAGAGGACAGCAGGGAAGACGTAACCTGGTCTCTGCTTGTCTGGGATGGAGAGATGGACTTAAGCGAAAGAGAGAGAGAGAGAGAGAAGTATAATGAGGAGGAAAAGAGGTGAAGACAGAGACGAGGAAGCTCAGCGGCAAACTGCTGTATAAAACATGAGGATATAAAAAGCACATGGCTCAAAAAGGTGTGTATCTGTGGTCAGTTCCAGACACAGACAGCTGAAAGAAATGCACACCTTCAAGACAGGGAAAACCAATATTCATTGAGACTGTCAATCTTGACATTTTCTGCATCCCACAACACATTGGCTATCATCTGATGATGGTTTAAGCGTCTGGGAATGATTAGCCATACACAACTTTCAGCGAAGTGTTTCTTTTCTGTGCAGCCGCCCGCCACATTGTACGCGTAGCATCTTGTAGGAGCAGCAGTAGTAGTAGACTGACATATCGACAGGAGTAATGCATACAGTAACTACATTTTACTTGGGCATGTAGATGGAAATCTGCAGGGAGGAATAAAGGCTGTCGATGCTAGCTCTGCTAACGTTAGCAACACTCGGCAAACCACACTACATTGTTTACCTGCAGACAATATTAAATAAATTGTGATCCATTTGGACTGTTTTCTGAGTGTTTTCTAACCTTCAGACCAGTTGGCAAGTCTGAAATTACATTTCAATTTAAGTGACGGGGGAAATGAGTCGATAGGAACATCTCTAGATTTCTGTCTCTCGGCCTGTCTTTCTTTCTATCCCTCTTTTTTTGTCTCTCTCTCTAGCTTCCTCTTTCCAAGCCAGTCGCAGCAGCCGGCTGTCCCTGAATTAGTCCAGTTCTACCAGAGGTTTCTGTCTGTTCAAAGAAAGCTAAGTGGCTTCATAATGGTGAATTAAGCTGTTTCTACAAAATGAAAACTCTTCTTCATGTTTGTCCTTCGATTTATTCTCTGAAGTGACAAGTTCAGATTTAAGATGAGTTCTGTTCTTCAAAGTGACAAGAACATGAGATTAACTGACAAACCTGAGTAAAGGGAAATGTATAGGCTGCAGTGATATAAAAGAAGAAGGCATCAATGTACAAGAGATAAAAGGGTATTCAAAGAAAAAAGAAGAACACAGATGTACAATAATAAAGATGGAAAATCAAAGAGTGAAAGAAATGGAGTTCTGGGAGAGAAATGGTAGAAAATATGAACAAAGAGGACGGCTGAAAAGAGGAAAAAGTGATTCTGGTTGGACAGATGGAATTAGAGAGAACAGGAAATGTGAAACAATGAGACGGTGACAGGGACAGAAAATGAAAAGAGAAATAGGTTACCAGAAATGGAGTCTGTGCAGTGGAACTTCATTACATTTTAATGTGTTTCTTCATGAGATGAACGGCTACGAAAGCAGCTTCTAATTGTTCCTCACTGGATTAGTTACATTTGAGCAGGACTAAAGGAGTCAGGGTGAGGTTCTTCTTCTGCAGAAGTCATTTAGTTTATTCTTAGCTCATTTTTTGGTATCGTTTTGACAGGAACTGATTATGATTACATAAAAAAAAAAATTGAATGTGTTTGATAAAAGGATATCTGATACAGTTTATGCTCTTGATTCATAACCAACTGTTTATAAAAAAAATATTCTCTAATAAGCAGGGACTGTGCAGACTTTTTTTGACTGGGGTGGCCCACCTAAAGCACTAACTTGTGCAGGGGTGGCCTGAAGTGTGATGTAAGCACAAACACACAAATAAATATTAGCTATTTACCCTTTCCTATCTCACCAGTAATATCTTCTTTATAACACAAGATAATGGCGGCAACTTCAAAAAATACATGAAAAACCTGCACAGTCTAACTTGCAAAAATATATTAATTGGCAATGTTTTGGTCCCGACACATTGCCAGTTAGTTCATTGCAAGTAAGACAGAGTGTGTTACTTTCCTATACACCTGTCTTATGAAATAGAGTGCAAAGTTTTTTATTTAAAATGTAAAGTACAAACAAAAGAAATATGCATACAAGTGCTGACTCCCATCCTTTGCAAAAAAATAAAATAAAATAGTTTGTTTAAAAATAAGTCCCACCTCTGACAGAGCAAATAGCCAATCACAGTTTAGGATTTTTGGGGTGGCAACTGGGGTGCCTAATGAGATTTCTAGAGGGACCCATGCCACCCCTCTGGATATGCCCCTGCTACTTGTCAAAACACACAAAAGCAGATCAGACTATTATTCTACTACGACTTTAAAAAGAAATGGTCATACAACGACGACAGCTTCAGAAGCTTCGAGATTAGATATCGGAGGGTCAAAAGGAAAACATGCATTTTTTTTTTTTTTTTTGCTGTTGTTTTTCTCAAAGTGACGTTCTCACAGCTTCGAGCCCTTCATTTCTTGTGCATTCCAAAGTCAAATATTCAACAGCACCATGAGTGCTGCAGAAGAATGCATTCAATATCACATTCCACACGGCCTCCTGTGGGGATCTGCAGGTTACTTTGAATGGGAGAATAACTGCAGGAAAGGCTGAAACATTCAGAGCCACACTCTGATCGGCTGTAAACAAATAACACGAGAACAGCCTCAAACATCGTTCTGCATTTTTTTTTATGATTTATTCCACTGAAATGTGTTTTTTTTTTTTTTTTTTTTTACACAAAGTGCCAGCAGCAAGATGTGGAGCTTTTTCTTTCTTTCTGTAAAAAAGTTGATAAAAAAGCTTTCTAACTGGAGCAGCACAGTGCTGGAGGAATGTTGTTCTTCAATTTACAGGAATGTCGTCAAAAAATTCTGCTGTCTTTTTGACCTACATCATAATTTAGGGCACAGAAGAAAAGAGCCCCACAGCTCCTGTAATGGAGACGTTAGAGAGTCTCAGTGTTGTCCGGGTTCAGTTACTGGTGAGAAATATCGACCCAAACAAAGCACTCAGATAGAAACACTAACTGTTTCCTAAACAGCGGTGAGTAAGCCCTGACTTGTTTATTCCACAGAGACCTGAACTCAACATGTCACATAATGTGCTGCTACATGGAGAGAAGGAAAAAGAGCTTTTACCTCGTGTGAGGTGAAAATGTATTATTATGGGGTTTCAAAAGGTAAAATGACTGTAAAAATACTTAACGCATGCACAGAGCCTTTAAGAGCAAGAGTAACCAGTTGAATCACTCTTTCCCTCCAGCATCAGTCACCTGTTTAAAAACTGACCAGAGGAGCCTGGACCCTGCTGAAACAGTCAGACACACAGTATTTTAGTTGTGGTGTTATATTAACTTAATCTGCTTTTATTCAACACTTTTATTTTACTTAACTGGCAGTACGACTCGTATCACCATACTGGGTTCACATTATGATTTTATCACTTTGTTGTTTTTTTTTTACAATATTATATTTTTACAAAGACAATAGACTATAGTGAATTAATGAATATATGGGATTTTTATAGCTGATTTATCTGGCAATAAAAAGCTTAATATTTTTACATCCCATATTTAATTCACACAAAATATGACGTGTGCAGGTAAAGCCAGGTTTTTTTTGTTTTTTTTTACATGTGTATCGAGCCAGACTAGCTACTGCTCCACTTCTCCGCAGCTCACAGCAAGCAGGTCAAATAGAATAAAACATCTTGAAGTAGATTCAGCTGCACTTCATGACTCCAAAGGGTCAAAAAGCATTTTAGTGACTCCTGCAGTAGCATCACCCCACAGTGAGTAGAACTCCTCGACACACTCACCGACATCTCCTGATTTCAGTTCTTACTTAAAAGCAGCTCAGGTGAAATCAAAGTCACAAAACAAACTGAACTGCCCTTTCCAAAAACTGTCCAAAAGCAGGATAACCACACAGAAAACTATTCCAATGTTAACTGTAAGGCAGGAGGGGGAGGATGTTTTCAAAGTCAGTGTCAGATCAAAGGTCAGGCAACAAGTAATGGAGAAACAGAAAACTGCAAAACATCCATAACTGCAAAAACAGGAAAGGATGTTCTTTAGATTCTTTCAGATTTTTCCTCATTTTCAAATTTCATTTTATAACTTTGTGTCCAAAAACATATTTGAGACAATGTCAGTGTTTCAAAAACAGCTGGAGAAAGACAATGAGGCCTCAGATATCTTATGGAAAATCTATTCTCTTCATTATTTGTATTAATGAATCTGCAAAGACACAAGAAACTCAATGAAACTCAAAGACTCACGGCTCGTGGAGGATAAAATCCAAGTTCTCTGTAGAAATCTGTCCGCTCATAGGATGGCGAAACGATGTGGTCCTCTGGTTATGACTGGAGAGTGACAGAGGGAGGAGAGAGAGGAGACAGAATTAGCACCCTGCTCTGTAAACACAGTGAGAGCATCACTGTGGATTTTCACCCCCCCCGTAATCTTCACAAGTACAGCAGACACAAGCCGATCATTCCCCCGAGGAGCAGCGGTGCTCAGGAGCTCTGAAAGGCCTTCGTCCTGGACTTTCCCAGCCTGGTGTTGAATGTGCTCACCCTACCCCACCCTACTCAAACTCCCCACCCAATCCGTTTCTCTACAGCCTGTGTGGAGCGAAATGTCGGGCTCAGCACTAAATGCTGGACAGTGCAGGCCTGGGCCTCATGGGTTATATACTCAGTCAGTCATTTTAAGCCTCAGAGTGGAAAAGGGACTGACGGCGTAAACAACAGCGGGGTTGTGTGGAGGGTCAGTGTGTGTGTGTGTGTGTGTGTGTGTGTGTGTGTGTGTGTGTGTGTGTCAGTGCTTCACAGCAGAGTTGACAACGACAACAGAAAGTTTCAACAGTGTTGATTTGAACGAATAAAGTGGATATTGAAGTCAGGGTCATCTCTATTGAGAGACACCCACTAGTGATGTCATCATACCAGATTTTTAACCTTTGATATGTTTCTATCAAAAATCAAACAATATCAACACCTGCTTTTGATACCATGGCAACAAAAACTGCAGTCCTAGACAACCAATATTGGCTATTTTACTTTTATTTATTATATTTGTAACATGTTTAGTATTGATTACTTTTTTTTCAACCACAAAAAAAATTGATAATTGTCCAAGTAGGACTCCAAGTAGCTACTTACACACACACACACACACACACCTAAACACACTCTAAAGTGTAATTTGACTTAAAATGTTGTCCTGTGACCTGCTTTGTACTCTAAGTGTTGCTAAACCTGCTTTTTGTAAAGCGTCTCGAGATAACACTTGTTATGAATTGACTCTATACAGATAAAGATTGATTGATATGTTCTTGCTTGTAGTTATCAAAAAAAGCAGGCAAACTCCTCCACACGTCTACATTGTACAAATACATTGGCAACAATTTGGGCAGTGGATCTGTATAGTTAAGACAGTGTGCAGGAGTTAGCCTAAAAATCTGAAGTTTACACCAACAAGAGCTCAACACTGAGGAGAAACACACTACACACACTCAGAATATACACACTCATATGTGTGTGTGTGTGCTGGTTTCAGAAACCTTCTCATCTCGAACAACAATCAATACGTAGTAACGGTGTGTTTTCCATTCAGCAGCAGCAGCTCACATTACTCATGCTCCACAGACTCCTGCTCCGTGTAGCAGAAGATCAAACCCCACAGGACTACAATGTATCCCAGGAGACCCGAGGACACGGCTGCAGCAGGTTCCATAACAGGGACTGACACCGATGTTATGAGCTCACAGCAGGAGACCGGAGGTTGTGAAACTAAAAGCTGATCACGTTACACTGAAGTGACTGTGGACGGCTCAAACTAACTTCCACTACGACCATCATAACTGATAAAGATAATAAAAACAGTTTCCGTAGAAGACATAGAAATCTCTGCACTAGTCGATCTTAATAAGTGCAACTATAACTTCTGACCCTTGTTATGAGAAGTTGACCTGTGTCTCTCAATGTTTTCTTTAGTGGCTTAATGGATCTGGATGTTTAATTTCTATATTTCATTTGCATCTTTTTCAGTTATTTTTTAGTGAAACTTTACATTGTGTTATAATTGAATATACTCTCCTGTGTTTGTTAATATGTTCAAACTTGCATAAGCAAAATGAAATAATAAAGAATCTCTGCTGTAGTCATCTTTACCACCACTGAACTGTCTGATCTGAGTGACATTGTTATTAGTTGTTATTTCTTATGCAACGACTGTGTCTAATTTGTTTGTGAAATTGTCTGTGTGTTTTTGTGTGTGTGCTGTTCTGTTCAAACTGTCCTGTAATTGTACATTTGTTTTCATAGTGTTGTTTTTTTTGTTAGTACCTGCCTTGAAATTTAGCTTTTTTGCTAATTCCGGCTTATGTACATGGATACTATTGGTTGATGTGTTGATTAATGTGCACTTGTTACGCCCCACCATAAGGCCGCCCTATGGGGCTAACAGCAAACCATACATTGACCCATTAAAAGACACTAACCACCTTAACAAAAGTCAAAACAAAGGGATTTATTACAAAATGACACACTAAATGATAACAAAGATCAAAAGAGAAACAAAAGACAACAGACAATCCCTGACTGAGCAGCACAGCAGTCCCAACTCAAAATGCCTCTCTTTCTGCAGCCAGCACTGGCCTTTAAAGCACTGAGGCTTAGTAGGATTAGTAGCTTCACCTGGGCTGGAGACAACAGAAGGGGAGAAGGGACACAGGGCACAGGGAAACATACAGCCGTAACACACTGTCCTAATTGATTAAATAAATGAAATTAAATGAAACGTTTGCTTGAGGGTTGGAACGTAGATCCACCGTTATCCGGCAGAGAACCACGGCCTCAGACTTGGAGGTGCTGACCCACATCCCGACCGCTTAGCACTCGGTTTATATATACAATAGATGGAATTAATAGGATAATAAAAAACTAAAATATGAATTTAACAGTCTTTTTATAAAAACATACACAACAAGTGATATATCTCCATATTCACAGAAGTGAATTACCAGCTCTACATCAACTGAACTGGATGTGTTCATTTCTATTTCTGCTTGTGGTTTGGAGCAGTGTGGCTACATCATATCAAAGAGTCTCTACTCCTGCAGGCATATTGCAAAGGGCATAACGTAAAAGAATTTATAGCTTTCATAATCCCTGACGAATCACCTTCAGTGACCCGCAGCAGACTGTACTCACACTGACACATGAATGTTTGACAGCCAGCTGTGAAAAATCTGCACTGAGTCAAAAATGCAAAGAAGGATGTTGAAGAGCATGAAGAACCTTTGCTCCCAATCGAGGAGGAAGGGGCGCAGCGCAGAGCTGGAGGGAGACGTGTTAGTCATGCTGTCAGAGTGTGTCTTACAGGACACAATAAGCACCGTAGTATTTCTCTCAGAGGGATACGCTCAGTGTCTCCACATAAGCAGCGGCCCTGTGGTCCACTCTGAGGCGCTCTGAGGATTAATAATAGTCTGAACAGGATGGAATTACAATCGATCAGCTGTAGCATTAAAAGGGGAAACAGATTTTTACAGACGGGCGCTTGAGTTAGAAGTGATGACGGTCACTGAACACTCTCCCTGTGCAGAATATTTATGTGTACTAATGTCCCAATCAGTGATCAGACTGAGATCCTGAGGCAGCTACTTTATAACTCTTCACTCGTCTGCTTTGAAACTGAAGGAGACGAGTGTTTGCTGGCAGAGCTGAGCTGTGAACCAGCTACTCACTACACTGTGCGGCTGTGGATCAGTGGAACAGTCGGTCGCCTTTCAACCAGAAAGGTTGGGGGTTTGATCCCCAGCTCCTGCAGCCACATGCCCGATGGTAAATGGTTAATGGACTTGAGCCTGTATAGCGCTTTTCTAGTATTCTGACTAATCAAAGTGCTTTTACACCGCAGGTCACACCTACACATTCACACACTGATGGTAGAGGCTGCTGTGTAGTGAGACCATCAGAATGAACTTATCCATTCACAAGACTCTGACAAAGCAGCGGGAGATATTCAGGGTTAAGTGTCTTGCCCAAGGACACATCGGCCATGTGGCTGCAGGATCAAACCCCCAACCTTCCAGTTTAGAGAACGTGTTGTTGTTGTTGTTGTTGTGCTGTGGTCGTTGTTTGTTGTCGTCGGGTTTATAGAAATCATTGTGGTTGTGATTGTTATTCTTTGTGTTTCTGTCAGAAGTTGTTGTGGTTCTTGTGTTTGTAACCATGTTTATGTTTGTAGTCGTGGTTGTCTTTTTGTCGTTTTGGATGTGCTTGTAGCTTTGGATGTGTTTGCAGTTGTTGTTGTCGTCATTATCTCATTGCTGTTTTTGATGCAGTTGTTGTTGTTTTTTTGTAGCTGATTCATGAAATACTGACGTGGTTGCCGCTGATTCTCAAAGCATGAATGAAAGTTAATGAATAAAACAAAAGAAGCCCCACCACTTTATCTTTTAACCTTTGTTTTCCTTTCTAAAAATATATATTTTTTAAATACAAAAGAAACATTGAGCATAAATCTGTCCGTCCGTTTGGTTAAAGTGAAGTATCAAAAAGAGGAATGAATATGCATGGAAGAAGAAGAAGTCTCAGGTGGAACGTGTAAATGAACGACATTTACATCTCTGAATTAAAATGACATAAAGTTTTTACATAAATGTGGACGTGAGCTGGACTTTATGCTAACAGGATTAAAACACCATTAAGGACATTTAAACTCATAAATGCTAATACTTTCACAGCATGCCAGAGGAGAGTAATATTATACAACAACCCCCCCATGTCTTCATATAAATGTGACATAAGACAATTAATCAACACTTGAGCCAAGGAAAAGTGAAATTTGCTAACGATGACAGCTCATCTCATTTACACGACTGTGTAAGAAGTCATGGACGGATGCAGAATTTGTTGTGTTATCATGAAATTAAAAGCAATTTGTCAAGCCAATTAACCCCGATCTCCTCCCCAGACTGTTAAAGAGGTTTCTATGACAGCTGAGGACACGGTCACCTCTCACGCTTTCACTGAGACTTTCAGTCAATTCAAGTATCATCACAGCTATTCACCCAAAGGCTGCTTGTTTGTGCCTGTGCACCACTTCTCCAGGGACACCGATACATCTTCATCTGACTGCTCACACACACTAATGTGAAAGCGGGCGTCAGTGTCCTGAGGAGATGTTTATCAGCAGCTGTGATTTCAGCTGCAGGTTCAGCATAGTCAAACATATCATAGATGGGATGGTGTCATTTCAGAGGAGCTGAGGCAACACTGACCTCGAGGGTGGAGGGGAAAATGTTGAAAGCAGCACTAAAAGCTTTATATAGCAGGCTTTTAACAATGCTCTC